TACACTAAGAAGGGATTTTTAGAAATTTCCCCGCGGGGGGTGAGGGAGAGAATATAGTTTTCATCGAGTACTTAGGTGTATTAAATTAATAACATTTCAGACATTGTTATAAATATTTTTATCTATTTCGATTTTAAAAATGTTCGAACCGTTTTAAATTCGAATTTGTTATTGCATATTGGTTCGATTATAGAACGATTGTAAACGTTCCAGAAAACTGATCAAATTGAAAATAGTTCGTTTGACTGGACATAAAAGTTCTCTAATTAGTCTGGAAACGGGGGACCTAATTCTTGCATTCTGTGAAAATGGGTAAGATTGGCTATAATGTAATTATCTTAATCTTCACTATCGTTACTTTTTGCCCAGTGAAGTGGGTCTTTGCAACTAGATTCTAGATTACTTAGAAAAACAGTCTTTTATATATAAAAAAAACTATATTACATACAAATAAAAACCCAGAGAAGTGGGTCCTTGCAGCTAGTATTGTATATAACTGGTCATAAAATAATAAATAGAATTGTTTTTTTCTCTTTATGTATAGTAGTTATTTCAGATGGTTCCTACATTAATAGATTATATTTTGATCAAACCAATTAATTTGTATTTCTTTTTGCTTGTTCAAAGTTCAGGCCTGGCATCGACCAACCCTCAATCTAGATAACTCATATTAGGTCATTTCCAAGCTTTTGATAAAAAGAGACATTGCAAGTGTACAAGGTGGAAGGAGAAAAGCAATCTTTGAACCAATAAATTTATGTAGTTAAAATCTGGCTTGCAAATAACCTGCCCTGCTCACCACCATAGCAATGAGTTATAGTTATTTTTGTATTAAAAGTTGGAAGAATGGGCATAAGCAAGTTCTGCAAACATAGGTAGGTACCAAGGAAAGTGAAGAGGAATAAAAATTGTTTTCCTAGACCTTTACATTAACAGAATTTTTTGAGAATATCCTACTCCATTTTTTAATAAATTCAACTTAACCTCTAGTACCATTCCTGTTTTTCAACTACCTTGTTACATAAACATCCTCCAAACATAACACACTATAAGAAGTACATTGATGACATACTCATTATATGGAAGAATAAATCACATTTGAAGGTGTGTGTGCAATGCATGAGTAATAATCCATATGAGCTCATGATATAAGAGGACCAAACGAGTGACAGAGAGGTATATTTCCTTGACCCACTCATTCCTTTGGAAGGTTGTAATATCAAAACCACTGTATACTACAAGCTGAAATTTGAGCCAATTTACTTTAGAGCAGACTCACATGACCCAATTATCAAGCATTCATGATGGTCATCGAAAGAGAGTATACTCACCGTACCCACAAAGTGGACACACAACTCAAGCTAGACCATCTTAAGAACAGCAACCAATTATGGTATTCTAAGCAACTCAGTGAGAACATTAATAATCTGCCCAATACACAGTGATACAACACAACCCAGAAGAAACAAGAGAAAAGACCTGACAGTGCAATATAATCATATTTTATCTCTTATAGCCAGTCTCAAGGGCTATAGCATTGCTTACATAGGAACTTTGACAGTTTTCATTTACTTAGCAATACAAAAGACTCAATAAGTATAAATAGAGAAATAGAGTTATATGCAATTTTTGTGATAACTCAGGATGTATTTTCTTCATAATTAAAAGTTTAGACTATTTACAAAAAGTTTTAAACTGCCAGAAGCAGTTTAAAAGTGGATAAAAATAATATGGTGTGAAGAATTCTTTGTGTTTTTAATGTAAAAGTGTCAGAACCTACAAGAAAAGGCTGGTACTTGATCTCTTTTAACATTGTGGAGTTTTCTACCGATTTTTACCTTGTTTAAGAAGTGTTTTCTTCAAAACAATTTAAAACTGTTACTTCTGTGGTGGTGTATAAGGGATTAAAAGATAGACTCGAAAATTTAATTTAATTTTTGTAAATAGTCTAAATTTCAATTATGAAGAGTTATATGCATTTCCCTTTGGGAGTAATTTCTTTATGTATGGATGTTTGAGTTTGTGCAAGGGGCACAATTTTGTTCATCATCTTTCAAGCTTAATAACTCCTGTGCTTTTTTTTTTTAAAATGGGTTTGTTTATTAGAGGGATTGTTGCTATTAAATCTTGGTGGTTAAAGGTTGAGAGGATGAGGAGATAATGGAGGTCGTGTATATCTCCAGTATGGTTGGACTTAATGACGATTTTACTTGCATTTACAATTTTTTATAACACCCATCCCTACCCTCAAAATTAAGCTTTTCATCATTTTATAATAATTAAAAATATTTTAAAAATTTTTAATAAAATATCATAACAGATGACATCACATATGTTTTTAAATGTTGCTGGGAAAGTTGAGCAACTTGTTGCTGGTTTATTAAAATATACTTTCATAATAATTATCTTTTGCAACATATCAGTGTGCCACAGCACACCATTTGACTACACTATGGTATTATTGAGATAAAAGAATATTTTTGGTAGTTATCTTCTGATTCTGCTAGTAGATTTTATTAACAGAATATGGTGGGTAAGTGCAGTTTTTATTCAGTATTCATATATATTCTCTTAATATTATTTTTCTTCCATTCTCTCATCTTTTCTCCATAGATAAGTTAAATATAATTCAAGATAATATGTTGCCTTGTTCAGGCCTCTATTAGTTTTGATATATTTTATATAAAAATATATCTAATTTTATTTATATATTAATTTTTATGTGTTTTTATGAGAGAATTCTGTATTGTTTTCCTTCATGCTATAGATAACTCAAATTCTTCAAGATCCAAGATTAATTTCTTTCCATCAATTCTGTTATAAGTTTTTCATAGTCTATTAAAATTATTTTTAAAAAGTTTTTCTTCTAATTTTAGCAAAGTTCAAATGCTTGTAAATTTCTTTATGTATATTGTTAATTTAAGAAAATACAAAAACAATGTTTCTGAAATTCTTATAATTGTTATATTTCAGTACCTATTCTTAATTTTGTTTTAAATGTATTAGCTAACTAATTCTTAATTAGTTAGCTAATACAAATGTATTTAAATTATATTAAAAAAATGAATATTTTAATACTAAACCTACCTGTTATTGTATCATTTTTTATAGAATTTTGTGTATTAATCAAAACTTTATCATCTTTTTTATCATCATCTGTTATTTTTAATGTTTCCACAGTTTTTTCATTTGAAAGTGATTTGGAAGTCATTAAATTATCATACCTATAAAACATAAATTTATGGAAAACTAAATTATTTAAATGATTACATTTATATATATAATGATTAAAGCAAAAAATAAATAATAATTAAAAACTAATATAAATTTTGATTAAATAATATAACCTGTATGTAATAAGAATTTATAGTTGAAAAAATAAAAGATTTATTACTAAGCATAAAAAGCTGTTTCTTTAAATGTTAGAATAAGAAAATCTTACCTATGAATTAAATTATTTTGTAGTTTTTCAGCTCTGCCTATAGCTAATGCTCCATTCTTTTGTAATAAATCAAAGATGTTTTTCTAAAATAAAAATGTTACAAACTTAAAAAAAATCTGAATACCATTCAATACTTTTTTCCTACAGAACATATACATATATATAGAATGTAATATTGAAAAACTCAGTATCTTCCAATAATCTCATAGAGATATATTATTATTCAATTAATAATTTAACATTAGAATATTAATAAATTATATTAATATAAAACAAATTTATAGATATTTAAATAAATATTACACTGATCAGTAAATAACATTGAAAAACTTGTAAATGAAAATTACCATATTTTATTTAAAGTAAATGTAATAATCATAATTTAAAACTAAGATTTACACTAATGACAATATTTTTTATTATTTTAGTATTTTAAATCATTATCTGCATAATCAATTATATTCTTATATTATTAATTTTATTATTATATGTTATTACAACTTTAATAATTTAAATGTACTGTAATTATATTATAAGTAATCATAGTAAATGAATATGGTATTATAGCAATTTTCTGTGTATAATAACTAAATGTTTAAAATAATAATCATCTTTAGAAAAGTTTTCAATTATTAATTTTAAGCAAACTTGAAAAATTAAATATTAATTTTTCAAGTTTCCTTAAAATTCTCTTGTATGTATTTTATATTTTTATTAAAAATTGCATATAAATTTTTAAAATTTATTTACATAACATTTATATATTCACAATAATTGTAAAAGTTTTTTTAAATTTAAATTGTTATATGATTAATTCTACAAGTATGATCATATAAACAAGGGCACAATAAGTTGTTGGTTTTTCTAATAAAAATCAATAATTTTTTTTTTCAAATTTAAATTACATAATTTAAAGACAGTTGAATTTGCATTAATTGTTGATATACAAAATAATAAAATTTTAAAATAATTATTTTCTCTCAGCAGTTAAAAAAATTTAAAAAGGTTTTTGAATATATTTATTTAAATAAATATTAATGACAAATACAAAAAATTACAGTATATTATTTATACAGGGTCTATCACAGGTGTGGCCAAACTTTTATCCCTTAGGGGCTACTTTTTTGGTAAAATATAGTCTGCAGGTGACTATGAATATGGGCAAACAATTTTAGGATTTTTATATGCGCATGCGTTAACATTCATTTGCATTGTTCATCGGGATAAATACAAACAGTATGGGTATGTTGCACAGTCAGTCTATTATTGTAAGAATAAATTATCGAATTAAGATTTAAACATTAATTTAAGTGAAAGCAAATTGTTCAATTTTAGTTTCATGGGCTACTTTCAAAACATTTGCGATCGACCGGGGTCTATGTGTTGGCCATCCCTGGTCTATCAGATAAATCAGTAATTATAAATAGACAATTATTAACTTTTGAATATTTTAAAATGAATTTTCAAATACAAGATTTCAAACAATTAAGTTTGCAACTTATGTTATGAAGATAACATCATTTCAGTGATCTCATGCACACTTTTCACATCTTCAAAGTATGTCAACTTATACTCAGATATGTTTTTGATTGTATCATGAATTTTTGCTTTGCGAGTTTCAATATTTTATGTACAATCTTCATAAACCACATTTTTTGTCATCTTCTAAATATAAATGGCAAATTATGTTGTTTGGAATCTTGTACATCAAAATTCATTTTATAATATTCAATTTGCAATCATTTGTTTTTCTGTTAGACCATGTATTTGAAAACAATAATCTATCACTTGCAAATTATAACAAAATATCATTTACAAAAAATTTAATCATTTTCTTAAACCAAGATAACTTAATAATGCAAAACAGATGACATCTTTAAGATGTTTTAATGAAAAGAACAAATTCACAAAAAATGCATGAGATGAAAAACAGAGAATAAGAATTTAAAGACAAATTTGATATTTTTATTTCTTTTTTCAATTAGTAATTTAATTATATATTTTATTTTTCATCATTATAAGATCTGGAATTTTTTTTTGTAAATTATGATATATGATGTATATATATTATGTTAATGATGATTTTTTTTTCTTTCTGTTAAGAAGCTATATGGAATTTTCATATTTAAGTTTAATAAGTTAAACTCTAATAATAATATAGGATGTTTCAAAAAAATATGATACTTTAATGTTAATTCTAAATTTGATAAATTCTACTTTAATTTTAATTCTAAAAAGATTTAAATTTATTATAAGACAAAAAATTACTGCAGAACAAAGTAGTAATCACCTAAGAATACAGCAGCTATCAAAATTTCATTCAGAATTCCAGTGAAGCAGTTTTATTCATCCAGAATGCCACTGACAGTACAAAACGGTGTCCATCAAGCAAGAGAAGACTTTATGCATTTGTGGAATTCATTAAAACAGAATCTATATCTTGTGCATTGTAATTACCAGTGTACATTTGTGAAGTAGTCCCCACCAAGAAAGTCCATTTTAAACTGGCATTCCAAATTCTAGAAAGAGAATTGCTTATGCAAAGAAAAAAGTTCAGTAGGTCCCTTGTCTTCTAAAATACCACTGAATGTATTTGGATTTTCTTCCAGCAAAGTCTGTGGAAATCCATCAGAAAAGCAAGTCATGACCTACAGGTGTCTCAAATAACAATTTGATATTTGGTACACAAGTACCTTTACATCAGGCCACACAAACTGTAGTTAGTGCAACAATTGAAACAGGATGACAAAGGTAATTGCTTACTGTGCCATTAAAAACAAAATTGAAAAAAGACAGCTTGGAGAACTACCTGGTTTGCAGCAATGAAAAGATCTTCCACTTGAATGTGTCACAATGTTCACATTTGGAGTACAAAAACTTCCATGCAGTCACTGAACATGAGAGACTCTCCCAAAATAAAATTATTTTGAGCAATTTCCAAGACTTGGATATGTGAACCATTTTTCTTTGCAGAGGACATGATCACTGGAATAGCATACCTACACATGCTATAGATATAACTGATGCCTCAACTGTAAGAGAAGTCTACAGACTTCATTTTTCAGCAGGAAAGAACATCACCTCATTACCATGTGCAGGTATGAGCTCATCTGAATGATATTTTTCCAGAAAGATATATTAATCATGCTGGAACAACAACCACACTCTCCTACATTGGCTTCCTAGATCACATCATGTAATTTCTTCCTTTGAGGTTACATGAAAAACCTTGTGTTTGTACCAACACTGCTCTGCAAGTTAAATAACTGAAGAATTGAATAAAAGAGGCATTGGCTCTGTCATGCAAAACTCTGTTTGCACATTTGGGAAGAACTGGATTATCAGTTGATGTTTACTATTTGACTAATGGAATGTATATTGAATTGTTATACAGTAGACCCCCCTATAACAAGAGTTCATATAATATGGATTTGTATAACACGGCAAAAAAATTGCGATAGTATTCGTATAAACATGCTAAAAGAGACCCGTATAATACGGTAAAATGTCATCGCTGACTCATGTCGCGACAGGATTGGTCAAATCTAGACCAATAGCGGATATTGCACAAAGCATTGAGTTTAAACGAGCAGCAGACCTACTAAAAACCATTTATTATTTAATGGCCATAAAAATTATATTTATATTAATGATGTCTCCAAAGTTCAACAAATTTTTCGCATAAAAATAACTTATCAGAAAACACGTGCCCACCGTAACGAAAACAAGCTTAAGCAATGGCATCATCGAACGGTGCACACTCGGTAAGCAATCCTACAGTTTTTGTTTATAGCATAGTTTATATGGATTATTCCCAAAAAATTATACATGCTTTGGAAATGTTGAGTCAAATTAGTCTAGAATCGATTAATTTTATGGAAGGAAACCTTTCAAACAGCCGTAGTCCGTAAACTGCATACATGCCAGGCTGTAATTGGCTCATGTATTTAAGTGACTCATAAAACATGGAATTCATATAAAACGGAACATATCTACAGTGTTATAGGGGGGTCTACTGTACTGACTGAAAAACCTAAGTTTTTCTTTTTCTTTGGTTCAAGTTTCATGTTGCCAACACCTGAAGTTGTCAATAAGTAAATTTTGATAAATGTCAAATGAATGTTTTTCAAGCACATTATCTAAAATATTTAAAGAAATAAATTATAAAGTTAAATATTAGACATTGATAAATATACAAAGAGTATCCAGTAAGTAAATCTCCTGGATCACCTGTAAAATTGTCACAAGTAAGTAAATGTTTGTGAATACAAACTTCACATTTACCTACTTCACATAATCACCCTCAATGTTCAGACATTTGTCCCACCTCCTAAGAACTTGTCAAATCCCATTGCATAAAATGTAAAATTCTACAGCACAAGAAATGTAGTATTGTTTTTAACTATGTAGGCTGTTTTTTTCATATGCCAATGGTCCATAAAAAAAAACAAGTGTAAATAACAAAATGAATGTATTACCAAAAGTTAGATACAAACATGGTTGCTTTTCGGCATAATCACTGTGAAGATTGAGGCATTTGTCATATGTGTGGACGAGCTTTTCCATCCCCTTGTCATAGAATGTTGCCGCCAATGACTTGAGATGGGCCCTAACGTTGTTTGAAGATCATCATTAGTCTTGAACCTCTGCCCTCCTACCCACTTTTTCTGTTCAGGAAAAATAGAAGTCTTCATCATCATTAAACACCCAGCATATAGCCCTGAGTTAGCGCCGAGTGAAAGTCACTCGGTGCTAACTAAGGGCTATATGCTGGGTGTTTAATGATGATGAAGACTTCTACCTTTCAGACTTCCACCCAGCTTAAAACTTTTTAATGTGTGAAGACTTCCCTCTCTTTACTGAACTGAAAACGTGGCTAGCAGGGCAGAGGTTTGAGACTAATGACTTCAAACTAACAATCTTCAGAGCAACATTATTAAGGCCATCTCAATTCACTGATGCCAACATCTTATGACAAGGGAATGGAAAAGTTCGTCCACAGATATGACAAATGCCTCAATCTTCACAGTAATTACGTCGAAAAGTAACCATGTTTGTATATAACTTTTGGTAATAAATTCAT